ATGTACCTTGTGGAGATTTCACATAAAGAAGAAACTGTACCTATTATTTTGTAATTTGCTTTTGCTCCCTAACAACCTATTTTAGGGATCATTTCATGTCAGTCCATTGGTTTGAAGGACTGCAGGGGATGGAGGTGCAGATTTGTTCACTTAGTCCTTTACTAATGGACACTTAGGTCATTTTCAGCTTTTCCCCTTAACAAACCATTCGCTCTTAACCGAGGCTAACAAAACACCAAAAACCCGGCATCCTATTAGCTCCAAAGGAACAAAACTAAGGAACGTCAGAATGGTTACCTCATATCCTAACACGCATTGCATATAGAGTACTGAGCCCTTAGCAACACCATGAAATCAGAACGGGCTCTCAAGGCCATTTAAAATCAAACTCATGCCACGACTTAGTCTCCTGCAGCAACGCCCTGTACCACAGAGGTGCCATCTGGAGCACCTCCAGAGATGGGGAGTTCACAACCTGATCAAGATACCTCAGTTCATCTTCCAGGAGCTCGGGCTGAAGAGGAAGGGGACAAGAACGGGCTTCACTTGTCTGCTTTGTCTCTCCTTCCCCACTCCAAGGCTGCTGCTGGAGTTTGACCTACTGATCTTCAGCTTCGGACAGTTGCCGGTGGCGCTGGTGACCTGGGTGCCCATGTTTCTGTCCACCCTGCTGGTGCCGTACCAGGCCCTGCGGCTGTGGGCCAGGCCGGGGGCTGAGGGCACCTGGGTGCTGGGGGCGGGCCTGGGCTGCGCGCTGCTGGCTGTCCACGCCGTGGTCCTCTGCGCGCTGCCGGTCCACGTGGCTGTGGAGCATCAGCTCCCGCCCGCCTCCCGCTGTGTCCTGGTCTTTGAGCAGGTGAGGGCTGAGATGCGCTGGGGAACCGGAGGGAATGGGCGGGCGGGCCCATTTCAGCGGAGGGGGAGTGCCCCAAAGAGGAGGCGGGGCCCACGAGAGGGAGGGCGCGGGAGAGGGCACTAGCAGGAGCGGAGCTAGTTACCAGGGGCGGAGTCCATTACGAAAGATTTGGGGAACCTGCAGGCTGGAAGGCAAACAGTGTGACACCGCCATCATAGGAGGCTGGCAGGAGGAAGAATCCGCTCTGGCCTCTCATCCCAGCAGCCTTTACTCATCCCAGCATATGTTCGGCTATACGGCTATTCAACAGAGAAAGAGTATGGGCTCTGACCAGACAGATTTTACACTCTGCCTGCCTCTCAGAGGTAACCCAGAGCACAGAGACGTTAAGCGATTTGCTTAAAGCCACACAGCAACTTGGCCTCCCTTCCACTCTGCCACAGGTTAGGTTCCTGATGAAAAGCTACTCCTTCCTGAGAGAGGCTTTGCCTGGGACCCTTCGTTCCAGAGGAGGTGAGACCTTCCTTCATCTTGCTCAGCTGTGAACTCAGTCCTCTTGGCTGATTGAATGAAGCCAACAGGCGCAGGATCCTGATAAAAGCCCTGCCTTCCTAAGCCCAGGTTGCCCACCAGGCACAGCGCTGGCCTCCAGCTGGCATTCTCAGCTCCGGCCTCTGACAGACAGCACCCCTGTTACCCAGGACTTCTGGCACTTTCCTATTTCCTATTTCCAGCCCCAGCCTGTCACGCAGGCTTTGTTGTTCCATTTATAGAGCACAGGCAGAGTACATTTAGTATCATTCTGAAGGGCCCTAGACTTTTTGGAATGACAAGTTGCCACTGGGTCCAAATTAAAGTCACCAGCTGCATTAGACCTTAACAAGAGAGTCAGGCTGGGCACAGTGGCTCACACCTGTAATCCTAGCACTTTGGGATGCCGAGACGGGAGGATTGTTTAAGCACAGGAGTTCAAGACCAGCCTGAGCAACATAGTGAAATGGGGTCTCACTTCAGAAAACGTTTTTAAATTAGCCAGGTGTGGTGGCTCATGCCTGTGGTCCCAGCTGTGTGGAGACTGAGGTAGGAAGATTACTTGAGTCTGAGAGGTTGAGGCTGCAGTGAGCCATGACTGTGTCACTGCACTCCAGCCTGGGCAATGGAGTGAGATCCCATCTCAAAACAAAACGAAAAAAATAAGAGACATGCAACTTTTTCTTTCATTGAACACTTGAAGACCATTTCAAGGTTATTAATTGGCCTAATTTCAATTTTTTTTTTTTTTGAGATGGAGTCTTGCTCTGTTTTCCCAGGCTGGAGTGCTGTGACACGATCTTGGCTCACTGCAACCTCTACCTCCTGGGTTCAAGCGATTCTCCTGCCTCAGCCTCCCAAGTAGCCGGGATTGCAAGGTGTGCGTCACCATGCCTGGCTAATTTTTTTTGTGTGTTTAGTAGAGACAGGATTTCACCTTGTTGGCCAGGCTGGTCTCCAACTTCTGACCTCCAGTGATCCACCCACCTCGGCCTCCCAAAGTGTTGGGATTACAGGGATGAGCGACCATGCTGGGCCAATTTTTTTTTTTTTTTTTTTTTAGAGACCGTCTTGCTATGTTGCCCGGGCTGGTCTTGAGCTTCTAGGCTAAAGCAATCCCCTTGTCTTGGCCTCCCAAAGTGTTGGGATTACAGGAGTGAACCGTTAAGCTTGGCCCCTAATTCCAATATCGTTGTGTCTAGAGTACAGACCAGAGGAGAGCAGGAGAGAGGGGAGAATGGCTGGTCAGTGGAGTAGTCAGAACACGCAGAATTTATCAGTTAAGTTTGCTCTCCCATTTGGGTGTGTTTCATGATGCCCTAAGACAATTACCATAGTAACATTAAAAATCACTGATC